CCTTCAAAAAAAGGAACTTTAAGAATAATGCCCCGAGTTGATGGATAAAGAAAAAACATTGAGAACAAAGTTATTAATGGGTCGATAGAGAGAATATAATCTTAGAAATAAAGCCCCTGTTTGATACGAATTAAAATTTAGTTAAGTCAAAGTTAACAATTAATTTTAACCACATATTTTATGGGATCCACAACTTTTTAACTATACATTTTATTAGTTTTTATCGAAATTTACTAAAAATCTAAATTTAATCTCTACCAAGGACGAAAGAAGATCAATGGATAAAATGAATTGAAAATGGATCAAGAAGCCCAATCTATGTGATGTCCCAATTTCGTCATCATTATCTTCATTATTATTATTAAGCCTTTGTTAGATGACTATTATTGTGTAAAAATGATGTTTTCAATAATGATTTTTTGAAGAATGTATAGTTAAAAAGTGAAAAAAAAATTTGGTTTATGCGTAAAATAATGTGTGATTGATAATAAATATGAGAAATAAATTGTTTTATTTTAAAATGAGTCAGAGATGGGCTAAATGTTTTTGGACATCTTTCCTTGGGACCACCGTGGATGGAGGCATCCATCGACAAGCTCTTAAAATAACGTTGTTTAAGATATCTCACGTCGTCATTTTTCAATTTTATCATTTTAACTGACATATTAAATATTTGAATTGAACATGAATATCAATGTTGCTCTACCAATCCATTACAAATATTAGGGTAAATTTCATATTGGTTCACTAAGTTTTAATTTGTTGTAATTGGAATAAAATAATAGACTTCAATTTAATTTCAAATTTCATCACTGATTCCTAATATTTACCAACTCACATGGATGAAACGAGATCGTGGCAGGACATGACGTGACATGGTTAAAATATTTTACTTACCATTTATTTGTTATTTTTAAAATATGATTTAATTTTAAAAATATGAAAATAAAGTAAGAAGATTGGGACCGAGTTCGAGAAAATAAGTTGGACTTGATCATAATGTATTTGGTGTTTGGTTAGGTCAGGTGTGTATATCCACTAACTTTGTTCACCTCTC